CTCATACTGTGTACATATAGCTGCGGAGCATAGATTTGTTGAATAAAACAGATAGTCACTTACTTTGATGTTGATTTTTAATTTATGTAATAAACTCCCAATCATCTGACACAGTATGGCCTGTGATGCAGCTTTGGAACAATGCAGTATTGCATCTGATAAACCCAAGCTCAAAGGGTCATGTTCAGTTCAGCAGTGAAGCAGATGCATGTTACGGGTGCGATTGGGTCACTGCTCAAACAATTTCCCCAGCCCAGCAAAGGGAGGCAAAACCCACTTATTCATCCTTACTCCGTTATTCATTTTAGAAGCCAGGGCCTGATCCCAAGCTCATTGAAATCAGTGAGTGCCTTTCCACTGACTTCAGTGGGCTTTGGATCAGACCACCCAGAACAGAGTTAATCTACTGCACGTGGGCATTCATTGCAGGACCAGAGGCCTAACTGAGACAAGAAGCAATAAATGAATAAAAAACCACAGGAGTGAAATTAGGAGGGAGGATGTGGATAACAGTAACAAAATCGTGCAGTTACATAGGTTTGCAGAGCACATGATTTCAAACAGTTTAAACCTTTTTAAATTATTTAAAATATTCTCCAATCCAACTACACTCCCTATGCTCTCTTAACTTCACCTTTCACTTCAATGTATTATTTATTTTCCCTTTCCTACATACCCAGCGGTGACTCCTCCTAGCATTATTAATTCCTTTTTAACATCTATAGGGCCAGATCCTCAATCAATCAGCATAGCTACAATGATGTGAATGGATTTATGACGATTTACACCAGCTGCAGATCTGGCCCATCAATTATATTTTCATTAGAGAAATAGACGCAATCCCTCCACTGACACATGGACAAAGGGTTCTTTTTTCCAAAAGGTCAGCAATTGGGGACTCAAGCTATTGAGAAGATGCTGTCAGAAATAGCAGTAAATGTCTCCCTTTTTAGTTAGGCTAAATTACAGCATAACAGTCAGGTATGAAACCGTTTTATTTGCAACTCAAAAAAATCCCAAGAAAAGTGACACTTTTTTTTAGTAAAACATTACCTTGTCATTCCCTGTTCAGCCTGAGTCACTGTAGCTCTGAGATACACCAAGGAACAGTGCATGGCCTTACAGTGCACATCAGTTGCCACATTGGCAGCAAGTCTGAAGAACTATAAAATTATATACTAAAACCAGCATTAAAAGAACATTAGTGAGGTTGCAAAGTCAAGCATTCAAAAGTTAGGAAATGCTAGTATTAAGGCTTCCTGTGCAACCTTTATATGTACCTCTTGTGTGCACGCATTACGAAGCTACAAATATCGGCCTTGGAACCCGGGGTACTCAGTTGCAGAGTACTATGTGCTGGTGTGGACAAGAAGCTGCCATACCCGTTTTGTGGTTAGGCAGCTGAATCATACCATGTGAATCATCACAGGAATTTTAAGATGAACCCCTCTACTGTGGCTTTCCATATCAGCAAACACTGAACCTCCAGCTATCCGTCAAGGTTTAGCCACAGTACGAGAACTTAAATGCACCAAGACCACCCAGTACTTCCTGTCTAGCAAGTTATAGACACTATACCCCAACAACCACTACAGATCACAAGTTACCATCTCATGTCTCTATATCCTGCCAGGGAATGGCAAACGTTCGGAACCTCTGATGAGATCCAGACCAAGCGCATTGTTACTGACCCAACAAGACGCCCTCCTGGTTTTGACCTGCCATGCAGAATCTGACCCACACTGAACCGTATCCAAACAAACCATGGAAGATACGGCTACTTGATGTACAACTGGAAAATCAAAGACTCCTCTTTGTGTGACTGCTGTGAGAACATCCAAACCATCAAACACATCATAACTCAGTGCCCCAAATATGGATTCAAAGGTGAATTGGATGATATCAGCAATGCCAGAGGAGGCCTTGAAATAGCTTATGGACCGTGTGTGTGTGTGTGTGTGAAAGAGATCTTTTATCTATCTGATCACAAACGACACAGGGCCCCTGCCTCATTCAGTGCACAAGATGGACAATGCTCAGTGAATTAGGAGCTGTTCAATTCTTTGTTTTCTCGTTGTTCAGTCTGTGAACCAAGACCTTATTTACTGCTCACTATTCAAACCTTGCTCTAAAGACAGAATCATCATCTTTCTCATGGGCTTTTTCTATGGTGATCATCACTACATTACCAGAGTGCTTCGCAAACATTAATGAACGTATCATTCCAATACCCTGTTGAGAGGGTATCATTATCCCCATTTTAAATATGGGGGACCAAGGTACAAAGGTTTCAATGTCAAAAGCATATGCTAGTTTTGGGTGCCCAATTAGAAATGCCTATGGCCTGATTTTTTCAGAGACCATACAGCATTTTTAGCACTTTTCACCTTCAGAAAACAACATGACACGTATTTTCCTTCCAAATTTAAGCTCCTTCTCCAAAATATGGAGGCATAAGAATTTCTCAAAAGTATTTCTAAGGATGTTTTGGTGCAAAAAACCACATATTTTGACCTAAGCTAATTCTAGAATTGGCTGAATTGGTTTTTTTTTCCTCACGTTTTCTATTAAAAAACAAAAACAAAAACACACTGAGGAAGGCACCCAGAATGGAAAATTTCAGCCCAAATAATTAAAGTTTGGCAAAGTTATGAACAACTGAAAAGAGGGTCTGGTAATGGAAAGTGTCCAGCAACCTTATCCAGAGGTGTCTATCTGTGCTGCCTATTGTAATCCCAAAAATCTAGGTATCTAAAATTATGTGCTTCTGCTGGGGTTACATCCTAGGTGCTACAGCAGTATAAAGTGGGTTATGACATAGTCTGAGAAAGTCTGGCTCTTACTGGTTTTTCCACTGGCATCAACAAAGTTAAAAGCAGGCTCTGAACATTTACTGGAAAATTAGAGCATCAAGGTGTATCCCGTTCAGGCTGCAAGCCCTGCTGGCCTCATTTTGGATATTGGTCATATGAAGCAAGTCAGCTGAAGTCAGATCAGAGGAAGGTGGCATGCTGTGGGAAATAACATAATTCTTCATTCAGCCGAAGGGACATTTCAGAAGTGGGAAAGAAGTGTTAGTGTTTGGAACAAGGTCAAGAAATGTAGGCCAAACCCGCACCTTTGCCTCTCCCTATTCTTTGCCTCCCTCTAAAGGCAGAGCTGTTCCTTTAGGTTTGTGACAGAGCAACATCTCTGAGAGAAGTTGGAGAACTGTCCCAATCACAGCAATTTCTCCGTATGAATTAAGGCATTCAGAGGCATGTAACTGCTTTCTTCTTTCTAAAAAAAAAAAAAGGAGACGCACAATTGCCACCAGTTGTCAGAAAATAGACAAAATACTGTCTCTGTTATTCATATCTAAGCCTCTTCCACCCACAAATATGATTACATGAATTATTACAACTTCTTCATCTTTCAAAGTGAATTAAACTAAACTAAATTAAGGCCACTTTATTTCTGAATGAGTGTCTCCACACAAGTGTTTAATGCAGTTTAACCAAACCACTTTAAATTAACATCTTTTCTGTTAATTCAGATTACCTTTCCTGGAGGCTTGTCTACATGGGAGTTTTAAACCAGATCAGACTGAGTTAATGTAGTTTGAAACACTTGCATACACATGACACAACCCATCACTGTACACTAACTTTCTATTTATCAGGAATTCTGGAGTCCTCTTGCAAAGTGGACTAGGGTTTATTTCAAATGGTCTTTTGTTCATGTGCACACAATTGCTGCACAACACTTTTTGCATACTTCCAATGGCTATCCCACAGTGCTTTGCAGGTCAGCCATTATTGACCTGTCTGTTCACTGGGTACCCTCCCCTTTAGGATGGCCCTTCCCCCTTTTGAAAGTTGTTGCAGAGCTAGATTTTGAACATTTGCTCCTGAATCCCAGTGCATAATTATTCTGGAGATACAGCTGTGATTGTAATCCAGAAGCCCTACAATATGTCTTGTGCAGTGGTGCTGAGATTCAGGGCTTCAGCATGGCCCCATCGGGACAGAAGCTCTTGGGGACAGCCACCAGAATAAGGACCTTTTCATAGACATTGCAAAGCAGATGTCCACAAGGGGTCATGATCAGAATGCTAAAGAGTCAGTACATTGAAACAAGGGATAAAGAGAGACAATCTGGTGTGGGATATGTGACCGGTCCAATGTTCGATGGTCTGGACAGGATTCTACACAATTACAGTATGACCTGTCCCAGGCACTATTCAGAACCAACTGCCTGCACTGTCCCTACCACCACCGCTGACTTGGTCGACCCATGAGGGGGATGAGCTGGAGGATGCTGGAGAGTAGCTGCTCCATCCCCACCACTGAGAGCCTGGATCTTTCTGTGACTCAGGACCCTCATGATGGCCAGCTGGAAAGACAGCCCCAACCCTGTCCAGCTACAACAGACCCCAGCTCCTGCCCTCTACAAGGCTGAGCCTGATTCCCAGCTGAAAACCCAGGCTGAGACCAAAGAGTCAGATCCCCTGGAGGGAAATTCAGCATGTAATTACCTTTACATTGTGTTTGTTATTATAGATGACGGATGTGAGCTAGGAGTACCTGCCTCTCCTCCCCTCTTTTGCTGTTTCAACATGGTGCCCACCAGCATGGCACAGTCTTAGTCTGTACCCTCTCACCCCCACCACCACCCATCCCTCCTGCAGCAGATTGGAATACCAAAAGCACTCATTGGTACAAAATTCAGCAGTTCATTGAGACAGCGCTGACAGAACAAGAGATTTGGTTAGTTTTTGTAGTTTCCATGAGGGAAGAGTGCACACTGCATGCCCAGTCGAGGCACAAACAATACTGCTCCTCACTAAGGTAGAAATGCATGCATTTCTGTAACATGCATTCTAGCTGGCAATTCTTGCAGGGCCCTATACTTTGCTCTGCAATTTCTCTGTGGATCCATGGGAGATCTAGCAGAACTTAAGACTGAGAAATTTCTCTATTTTGTTTTGCACACTGTAGGGAATAGCCACTCACCGTTGGCCCCAGTAGAGCTCACAAGCCTCTTCACTCCAACAGCACTTCTCGGGGGGACCATCTTGAGGAATAACCGCACAGCTGGTTTGCCCTTTGTCTTTTTGAACAACACCTTTCTCTGCCCCGTCGTCCACTGCCTCAGTGTCAGGACAGCCTAAAAGGGAAGTTCAGGAGATTATTATCCAGCTTGCCCCTCATAATCCGCACTCCTCCCCGCCTCCTCTTTATAGGTCCGATGCCACAGGGGGGCGGGGCTCCAGCACTCAAACAAAACTGCAAAAGCAAACTGGGAACATAGCTCCGACCACCCCACTCCTTGCAGCATTAAAACAGATATAGCAGACACGTCCAAATACAGCCAGGACCCTCTGTACACACAGACCACTTACCAGCTATGAGCTTCCCCCCCAAAGAAAGGGAAGAGTCTCTGGGATGTAACATCACATATACATACTTAAAAAAAAAACCCTATCATGACTTGTCTGGTATATAAACAAGTGATTTCCCCCCGCCCCCCTTTCACAGCCACACCGTCAAGGACAGGTCTCTATACACTGCTGACAGGCTGGCCAACTTTAGGGGGATAAAAGGAAGGTTGATAACAACATGTTTGCAGAACTTATGGCTTAGTCACATAGGAAAACCAGGCTGAGATGTGGAGACTGGACATGAGGACCCAGTGGGAGAAAAATGAAGCTCTCCAAGAAGATCATGCCATTGACAAAGGAAATCGTGGCTATGGCTAAGGACAGGATAATTATGGCAAAGGAGAGTACGATAAAAGACAGAGATGCCACTCATTGACACTATCCTGAGCCAGAATGCCTTCCTGTGCCAAAACATGCTCCTGCTAGGCCAGTAAGCCGTACAGTCCCAGCCATGTCCTTCAGCCCCTGGATGATGCTGGCTAATGGGACCAGCAGAAAACCCTAACCGCCATATCCCCGCGGCAGTGTTCCTACTATTCCCATTCACTTCTCAGCTCCAACCTCTTCACACCAAGAACACTTGCACCTGGTAGTCCAGCTCTTTTAAGTCTTGCAATGCCTCTAGCTAATTCTGAGCCACAGCATTCAAACCCAGACCCTGGACAGATAAGAAGGGCCAGAGGTAAGGTGTATACTCACCTTAGCTTTGACAGGTTTCAGAGTAGCAGCCGTGTTAGTCCGTATCCGCAAAAAGAAAAGGAGGACTTGTGGCACCTTAGAGACTAACCAATTTATTTGAGCATAAGCTTTCGTGAGCTACAGCTCACTTCATCAGATAGCTCTGTGACCTGTAGCTTCACCTGTAGCTTTGTGACCCACACTCCCAAATTGCTGTATTTGAAATGTTCTAACTGTTGCACTTTGAGTTTTGTTTACACCATTGCATTCACTGAAGGTTTGTATATAGTAGGGTATTTTGTAGATTGCATGTGGAAATACATTTAAATAACCAAAGATATTACTTTTCTATTGGTTTCATTAAAACTTTGGGGGGTTTTTGGTTGTTGTTTCATAATAAAAACCATTCACAGTACATCCATTATGAGTCACAATGGCAGTTAACACAGAAAATCCTTTAAATAAAGATGAAATAATGAATGGGTTTTGCTAAAGCATATAGGGAACACTAACTTCAACCACGCACACACAATACCCCGTGCTCGCAATGTCTCTTTCCCAGTACAAACCCCCAGATGAACATGTTTAACCACGAGACTTAAAATATGAATAACAGGCATCTCTTTCAAAATTCCCCCAGATGTTTGTATTCTCTATGGGACATCTTGTGGGATGCTCAAACCTCCGAGCAATCTCTATGCTTCCACAAAGCTTTCCCCCTTGGTGTCACAAACACTGTGCAAAACACAACATGCAGTTATAATGGTTGAATATGTATGCTGCTTCCAACCTATTCCACAGACAGTGCTGGCTGCCTTTCAAACAGCCTAACGCCCACTCACCTACCATTCCGCAATTACTCTGGTGATAGTTAAAATGTTCCTACCTTCCTCCTAAGGGGTCTGTGTATGGCTTCGCTAGCCTGGGCATCAGGGAATAAACCAGGTCTCCCAGAAATAACCATATCAACCTCCACAGCAACAATGTCCACAGCAGTCCTGGGAATGAACCGTCTTTTCTCCATTAATGTAAATAGTACTGAGTTCCAAAAGATCCTAGCATGGACCCTCCCAGACCACCCAACAGATAATCTCACCACATCAAATTGGTTGGCTACCGACCAGTAATACTCTGGGATGGCCAGCTTCCAGATGGTAATAGTGACCCATTTCTCCGGAGGTACAGGGCAGCACATGTTGGGACACAGTTGCTGAAGTGCTGGGGCCCATTCTGCACAGATCTCACAAATGGTAACCCTCAACATCCTGAAGTTCTTGCCACCGCTTATCATTCTGCAGAGCTGGGTTGAACCTCTCCCACCAAACCATGCCAGTTTCCCGGGCCCAGAAACAGTGCCGAATGCTGTGTACCTGATCCAGAAACCAGTCCTCTTCTTCGAACAGCTCAGCATCCTCCTGGTCTTCCACCTTGTTCTGCTGCCACCCCTGCAGAGTACCCTCCTTCTATCAGAGGGGCTGCTACTGCTGCCATTGAATATTCTCCTGCTCCTACATCATCTGCTCAGTGGCACAACAGGCAAAGTCAGAGCCAGACAAATTCAGCACTGCAGTGTCATAGTACAGACTAAGCAGCTGTTACCATAGTGGCATGGAGCAGTGTCGGGGCCATGCTGTCCGACAGCAATTCAAAAATGGCGAGAGACATCTCAGAAAGAAGGCATGGGACTGAGAGAGAAGAATCATAGGATATTTTTTTAATTTGAACCACAATTCACTGCAGAAACAATCCCAGGAAGCTTGCTGCTCAGTCAAAGCGAAGAACCATGGGATAGCCCAGGAGTACACTAAACCTCAGTTTATTAGCAAACTGTGGCCGTGTGTTCACAAAATGCAAACTGAAAACAGAACAGGTATTCCGTGTGCATGCTACTGATGTGACTCACATACTGCGAGTTACCTGACAGCTTCAGGTTAGACACCCTGTGTAGACACAACCTGAGTGTCCCTGAGCAGAAGCCCTGAGTATATGTCTACATTGCAATAAAAAACCCACAACACTGAATCTCAGAGCCCTGTCAATTGACTCGGGCTTGTAGGGCTTGTGCTGAGACCCCAGGAGGTGGGAAGGTCTCAAAGCCCAGGCTCTGGCTCAGTCCCAAAGGTCTACAGTGCTATTTTTAGCCCCGCACAGCGAGCCATTTGACCTGGGCTCTGAGACTCAGTGTCACCATCTTTTATTGCAGTGTAGACATATCCTGAATGACTCCCTGTTAACCATGTCCTAAGAGTAGCGAGACAACTTTAAAACAAACCATGCACTTTAGTTATGCATTGTTATGCTACGCAGTGCCATACTGCAGTAAACTTAGAGAAACCAAAAATACCTGTAAAAGTCCATCCTTGGGCTTCTAATTTTAGATATTTAGTTTTCTTTAGACAGACTTTCCCTAAAAGCGTGTGCAGTTGAAACAGAGAATCAACATTTAAGGTATTATGTTTTGATCCTATCCTTTCAGGCACAATTCTTTTAAACCAAACAAATGAATAAACAAACAAAACCCCCAGAAAACATAGCTGAAAACAGCTGTTGAGAAAACTCACACACCACAGTAATGACACTATGAATTTCAAGTATCGCATCCAGCAATCTAGTGAAATTACAGTGAGCAGTACGGCTGATCCGCACTACAATAAATCTGATCAATTTCATGCATGCAGGAACAGTGAAATTAAAAAAAAATGTGAACTGGGGAAAGTTAATTCACACAGAACCAAAGGGTCAACTTAATATGGAGGTTTCAGGGTATTAAAAGTCAAACAGTCCTCCTGAGGTTTCATATTGGAATCTATAGATCAAAACACAGTCCACGTTTGTTTGGCAGATATCGATTGATTTGTACAGTTATGTTTGCAGAGTGAATTGTTGGATTACTGTAGCACAATCCTAAAACACATTCCCTCATTAGATAGCATCTTTGGGGGACCAGCTCAGGAAGGATTAAGGCAGGGCAGAATGGCTTGTCTGATTTAGATTCCCCCCACCTCATTCTCCAAAAAAGTTCCCAGATTTTGTGACTTCACACTTCTATCCACACCCAAGATTTGCGACTCTTATTGTTGCCCACAGTCCTGAGGTGGCTGGGAGAGTCCCCAGTATTTACAACCTATTCCAGTCAATATCCCAGGATGACTATTTAAGAGAGTCAAATTCAGATTCTATTTTCTTCCTTCATGGGATTCCTGCATAGGCAGCAAAAGGACATCTATTCTGTGGTCACTCTTGCAGGGAGAGTTAGTTGCGGGGGAGCAGCTTTATTGCTATTCATAAGAACAGCCCTACTGGGTCAGACCAAAGATCCACCTAGCCCACTATCCTGTCTTCTGAGAATGGCCAATGCCAGGTGCCCCAGAGGGAATGAACAGAACAGGTAATCATCAAGTGATCTATTCCCTGTCACTCAATCCCAGCTTCTAGCAAACAGAGGCTAGGGACACCATCCCTGCCCATCCTGGCTAAAAGCCATTGATGGACCTTTCCCCCATTAATTTATCTAGTTCTTTTTTGAACACTGTTATAGTCTTGCCCTTCACAACATCCTCTTGCAAAGGTTTTTCAATGTCTAAAGTAAGGGTTTAGCTCATGATTTTTACAGAATCTTTGGGCTGGCAGCATTGTAGTGAACAACAATAAAACAAGGAAGAACAAAAGTAAAGTTCCCAAGAGACAGTGTATGTCTTCTCTGGGATATGCTGTATCAACTGTCACACAGAAAGGCAGCACCACCCTGTGACTGCAGACTGATGTTCAAAGGCAAAGTATTCAGAATTAAAGTCTTAAATCTACATACTGTCACCTACTACATAAAAAAGTATCCAAAGCAACATAAGAACTCAAGAGACTGGCTGAGGTGGTTTTAAAAGCAAAACCAGAGACCAATGAAATATTAACATATGCAGAGATATGGGACACCTTACCAGAAGAGATCAAACAGAATCCAACCCTGACCATTTTCAGCTAAAGTACAGGACCCAACTCTGAGGTCTTTCCTCAACAATGGAATATGCCCAACCCACAAATAGGGAGACTG